GGCATGTTACTGTACCAAGACTATGGGCAGCTGTTACCACAGCGTTTAAGTATCTGTATCTAAACATACCTACACATAGAAAGGCACAATAAAAAATACGGTGTTACAGTCTGGGATGGGTGCGCTCACGCCTGTAATCCAGCACTTTGGGAGGCTGAGGTGGGCAGTGATCTCCTGAGGTTCAGAAGTTCGAGGACTACCGGGCCACACATGGTGAAAAACCCCCCCCTGGTCTTTATGAAACTTACCGAAAACTTGCCAGTGTGGTGGTGGAACCTTTAAGGCTTGAAGCTCCTTGGGTAGGCTGAAGCATATGAGAATTGCTTGGACCGGGAGGCGGAGCGTGCAGGTGAGCTGGGAATCAGTACCACTGAACTCCAGGGCTGGGTGACAAGGAGTTTGAGGCCCCTGTCTCAAAAAAACATAAATAAATTAATTACAGCAATTTCAGTCTTACGGCAGCATGTTGCCGTATCTGTAGTCTGTCGTTGACTGAACATCCATTATGCGGTACAGTACATTTATATGCATATGTATATAGCTAGAGCAGGGAGTTTTGGAGGAGGAGTGGTCTATTTATTTTTTTTTTTGTTTAGAAAGATTCTTTTCTAGCTGTTCTTTTCACGTCTAATAATACCTTATTGAATGCCCTTAGATTCAGTAGTATATGTCTTGAAATTGATCTTTTTTTCTCTCGCTCATTGCCTATTTTTTTTTCTTTTAAATTTTTAAATTTATCTTGTCGTGTACTGATGGGTGGTGTATGAGGTATTTTGATACAGGCAATATTGATGCATAGTATCACATCAGGGTAAATGGGGTATCTACCCTCTCAAGCATTTATCCTTTGTGTTACAAACAATCCAGCTATACTTTTAGTTATTTTGAAATATACAATTAAATTGTTATTGGCTGTAGTCACCCTGCTGTGCCATCAGATACTAAATATTCATTCTTTCTAACTATTTTTTGTACCCAGTAACCATCGCCACTCCCCACTACAATTTTTTTTCTTTTGAGACGGAGTCTCGCTCTGTCGCCCAGGCTGGAGTGCAGTGGTGTGATCTCAGCTCACTGCAAGCTCCTCCTCCTGAGTTCAGGTTCACACCATTCTTCCCGCCTCAGCCTCCTGAGTAGTCTGCGGGACTACAGGGCACCCACCCACGACGCCCAAGTCTAATTTTGTTTTTGTAGTTGTTTAGTAG